GGTGATCAGGGATTGAAAGAAAAGGAGACAAGTTTCAGGGACGTCACAGCAGGCAGACAGCACCTACTTAATAGTTAATCTATCATTGTTGGTAGGACAGAGCACAGTGCAGGGGCAAGGAGTCAGCTTTCTACTCCCCTACCCACTGTGGCCCCCATTCCCACACCTGTTCAAATCGGGGGGAGGCACATGGGGGAGCTGATCCCATATCCATTGATCTCCATTTATTTGGGGAGGCAGCCCCTGGGACCAAGCGAGTGAAACTTCCGAGCCGGGGAGCAGAGAGGACCCTTATCTGCTGACAGTGGGAGGGAACAATTTGAAGGTCCCCCAACAGCTCAAATCATTCCCCACTCTCCAGGAAGCCTCCTCCTTACCCTCATTTCCCCTATGGGAAAGCAGCTGTTCCTCCCCTACCTCTCCCTGCGGAGCTAAAGCAACCACCCCGCCCTGCGGCTCCCAGCTATTTGGTGCATGTGCTGTTTGTTTACCTCTCTACATCCCTGGCTCCAGCAAGTGCTGAGCGGGATGGAGGAGGGGAAGAAAACTGGGGGGGGGGGTTATATGACCCTGCATGACCCCCATGTGTCACCTCTCTGCCGGGAGGGATGGGAACAGGCTGCAGCATCCCTGGTTAGCGTGGTGCTTAACTGTGCAGAACAAAGTGTGTGCTCCCGTACCTGCTGGGAGTGCAGGGAAAGAGCAAGCCCTTCCCTGGGCAAGTGTGGGGCTGTTAGGGGACGATAGTGCAGGCCCCCCCACCCCTCACCACCTAGACAGCAGGGAGGCTCCAACCCCCCAGCCAGGACACAGAGCTGCTTGCACACATACCCCTCCTACTCTTCCCCCACACATACCTCAGCCAGCCATCCAGAGATCAGATTGGGAGCCACTTCCAGCCCAACCCCATGGCATGGCTTCTAACACAGGGGGCCATCTGTCCTTGGAGAGTGGGGAGCCCTGAGCACCCCGCCTCCCACTGGAGGATTTTGCTGGCTTTGTGCCTGCCTGGTCAAGCTGAAGGTTGGGACCACTGTTTCCAGCACTGCAAATCTCTTGCCTATCTGGCTGGTTGCCTGCCTCCACAAGCCGAGCTGGTTCTTGGTCAGCAGTTCAGGTCACGTGGAAGATACCAAACCATGCCCCCTACAGTACCTAGCATTGGACCATCACTTGGACCGCCCACGTCAAAGGCCGGTGTTTGGCTTGACCCCCAGTCCCATTGTGATCACTTAAGACAGGTGCTAGCGTGGCCTCAGTCTGGGGGCTGTCTTCGCACCAGCCACTTCCCTAACCCACTGATCACTGCATGATGTTCAAACCACATACAATTCATCAAACAGCAAGGGTGAGAAAAATAAAGAAAAAAATGGAAAAGTTTAAGGGAAAAAGGAGACCCCGCTCTGTGGGCCTGGGGACACCACAAACAGCTGTCTCTGGGATGTAAGAAAAGTTCACAGTCTGCTCCTCATACATCCCAGGCCTCCCTCCCAGGCCCTAGCTGCACTGCGCTGATACATGGAGTCAGAAACCTGGTCTGGCGGGGGCCACACATCCTCAGGTTCTTGGTGGCAGAACACTTTTTCCCAGCATCTGTCCTCCCATTGTTTTCACGTCCTGCCCTCTCAGTCCAGCCTTCAAGGGCCTCCTGTATGGTAATGTCTCCCTGCTCTGGGCACTCTGCCCATGGCCCCACCTTGCTCTCCCCAGCTGCTCATCACGTTCGGCCGCCATATAACTTGTGCAAAACCGGCATCCACTATCCTAGCTCTGGCCCCGCAGCTCCTCACTGTAGCTCAGCTCTGGCTCCCCATTGGGGCAGATGGTTTGTGCTGCCCCATCTCACGACTGATCCGCTCCAGCTGCAACTCCCCAGCTCTGCCTCATCACTGCTGCTCTGCCTTCAGCCCAGCTCTGCTTTCTGGGCTTCTTCTCTGGCCCCTCTGGTTCTGGCTGAGGTTGCCACATTTCCACTGCATTATAGCCCAAAGTCACTGAAAAACTCACCTAAATGTAGCCCAATCCATTTCTTGAAACGAAGGTTTTGTTAGATACCTATTACAGATTTGATTTAAAAAACCAGCTACACGCCCCAGCAGAAGTTTGTCCACGTTAGCAACAAAGCTATCAAAGGTTAATAAAATTCAAATTCAAAACCCCAGTACTGGTACTTGTTTCCTGACTGAGGGTTGGCAGGAGTTTCAAACAAACTATGGCATCTGATGGTGTTAAAATAGCCCCAAAGCAGCTCAAAATATATGTAGTATAAAACCAACAAAAACATTATTATAGTATTTATTTCTAATTGCATTCAATGATGGTAGTCAATATCCACATTTTGTGTTGAATTAGTTGTTAGTGTTAGTCTTTATATGGTTTATCCTCCAGGTTTCCTGAAGGATTGGACGTAAAAATTTGCTCACTGAATAAAGAAATTCAGCATTGTAGATTCTTTCTTTTCTGTTTGGCTATCTGATAGTATATCTTCTGTTCATCAAACTGATCAGGAATCCTGTTCACACAGGGACTAAGAGAGAGTGACCTTGCATCAAAAATCTGCAGTAGCTTCTGGTATTCTAGGATTTACAGGAAGGCCTTTGACATGGTGTGTGGGGTTGAGGGCTGGTGGGTGACAATGAAAGAGGATGGATGATGGTCAAAGAGAGGGAACATAGCAACAGAGAGCGCAGTGCTTGGTGATGGAGTGATAAGACATTAGATGAGAGGAATTTCTCAGACTGTGAACTTCCAAAGTGCTGAGCTCAGCCAAACTGCGACAGAGCACACTGGATTAATGAGGAGGCATCCTTTCACCCTCTTGTCACACAGTTTGAAAGTCAGTGACCTCCAATGATCACCTTCTGCAAGTGTATTTGCCCACTTTATCACGCAGCTCTTGGGTTTTGACCCCGTAAATGATGGGGTTGAGCATAGGAGGAATGAGGTAATAGAGGACATTCAAAATGATGCGAACAAGCGGAGTGATGCCCCCACTGAACCGGATTGTCAGGGTGGTGAAGAGGACGGGAATATAAAACATTAGCATCACACAGATGTGGGCTGTGCAGGTGTTGAGGGCTTTCTGGTGGGCTCTCTTGGAGGAGATTCTGAGGACAGCCCTTATGATGAGACCATAGGACAGAGCAATGAGCATCAGGTCTGACCCCATGAGTACATATGGTACCACAAAGCTGTACATCCTGTTGAAAGTGATATCCCCACACGATATCATTGCCAAAAGCATGTGCTCGCAGTGCGTGTGGGGAATAATGTGATTGTCACAGAATGGCAGCCTGCTAAGTGTCAGGGGTAGGGGCACCATGAAGAGTAAAGCTCTTACCAAACCCGCAAGCCCTAGCATAGCTATTCGTGCATTGGTGAGGATAGTGGCATATCTCAGAGGATTACATATGGCAACGTAGCGATCAAAGGCCATTATCATGAGAACAGCAGACTGCACGAAAGAAACTGAGTGAAGGAAGAAAATCTGGGTCAGGCAACCATGCGCAGTAATGCCTTTCAAATTGAACCAAAATATACACAGTGCCTTTGGCACGACTGTGCTAGACTTGGTGATGTCTGTGAGCGCCAGCATGGAGATCAGCAGGTACATCGGCTTGTGCAGGGTCTCCTCTTTCCATACAACAAACAGAACTATGAAATTTCCCAACAGGCTGATAATGTAGGAGGTAGAGAAAGGGATGGAAATCCAGATGTGGGCATCTTCCATGCCAGGGACACCCATTAGGATGAAGATTGACGGGTCAGAGTGGGTGAGGTTCAAAGCTGCCATGAAGTTATCAATGTGTCGATCAGGCTCAGAAATGCTCAAAGTACCTGAGAAGGGAGAGGAGCACAGTGAAAGGGATTACAAAGTTTATACAATAATTAGTAGGGTAAATCTTTTATAGTTATTACCAATCTAGAAATGGGGTGGCAGTGAGGTGACAACATTTGCAGATGGAACCAGATTATTTAGGTCATAGTCAAGTACAGAGAAGTTCTCAGAGGGAGCTAACCAAGCCATGTGAATGTGCAGCTTGTTGGCAGATGAACATTGATGCCAATAATTGCCTCGTGTATGCCCATTGGAGGGAAAAACTTGAATTCCTCAAACACCTTACAAGGTTCTAATTTAACTGTATGCCCTCAGGACAGGGATCTGGGTGTCATGGTACACAGCTCTGTGAAACCCTCCTCACCGTGCAAGCACAGTCAGAAACTAAGTAAAATATTGGGATCCAGTAGGAGGGGGATGGGGAATCATACAGAAAATACAGTGTCATGAGATCAGTCAGTCAATGTTTCACCCTCCTCTGGACTCCTCTGTGTAGTACCAAGCACCCTTCTCACATAGAATATTGCAGAAATAGAGGGTTTCAGGCAAGGGGAACAAGAATGATCAAGGGCCCGGGAAGGAGAGAGGTTGAAAAGACTGGGATTATTACCTTACAAAGGAGATGAAGAAGAGGGGATATGAAAAAATTCTATAAAATACTGATTGGTAGAGAGTAGAATCATAGAATCATAGAATACCAGGGTTGGAAGGGATCACAGGAGGTCATCTAGTCCAACCTCCTGCTAAAAGCAGGACCAATCCCCAGACAGAGAATGTGATCTCCCATCTCATTACACAATATTAATAGGACATTGGATTAAACTGAAACATGGCAAATTCAAAACAGGTAAAAACGAATGCTTTCTTCACTCAATCCCTAATTAGGCTGAGGAACTCGTTGCCACAAGAGGTAGTTGATGCCATCAGCTAAGCAAGAATCAGGAAGGGTTTGGACTTTCAGATGGACAGTGAGACTATCCAGTTACAATAGTTACGGCTAAATAAATATTTTGGAAAGCCTATATGCCAATGTGATTCAGGGCACAAGCCAGTCTCTAGCTTTTAGGCATTAGGGTGAGACCCTCCTGATGGTCAAGTCACCTCCCCAATCCATCTACTGCTTGGTTTTTTATACATTCTTCTGCAACACCTGTGGCTGTCACTGTCACAGAAAGGACACTGGACTAACTAGACCATAGGTCTGATCCACGATGCAGTTTCTATTTTGGAAAGGAGCCAAGTTTTCCCCATGAAAAGAGACTTTATCATAGAATAAAAGACTATTAGGGTTGGAAGAGACCTTGGTAGTTCATCTAGTCCAATGACCTGCTCAAAGCAGGACCAACACCTACTAAATCATCCCAGCCAAGGCTTTGTCAAGCCGGGCCTTAAAAACCTCTAAGTATGGAGATTCCACCGCCTCCCTAGGTAACCCATTCCAGTGCTTCACCACCTCCTAGTGAAATAGATGCAATAGTGTCTTGCATCTGAAGAAGTGAGGTTCTTACCCACGAAAGCTTATGCTCCCAGTACTTCTGTTAGTCTCAAAGGTGCCACAGGACCCTCTGTTGCTTTTTAGTGAAATAGTGTTTCCTAATATCCAACCTGGACCTCCCACACTGCAACTTGAGACCATTGCTCCTTGTTATGTCACCACTGAGAACAGCCGACCTCCATCCTCTTTGGAACCCCCCTTCAGGTAGTTAAAGGCTACTATCAAATCCCTCCTTACTCTTCTTGTCTGCAGACTAAATAACCCCAGTTCCCTCAGCCTCTCCTCGTAAGACATGTGCCTTTGCCCCCTAATCATTTTAGCTGCCCTTCGCTGTACTCTCTTCAATTTGTCCACATCCCTTCTGTAGTGGGGGGACCAAAACTGGACACAATACTCCAGGTGTGACATCACCAGTGTCAAATAGATGGGAATAATCACTTCCTGCACTCTGCTGACAATGCTTCTACTAATACAGCCCACTATGCCATTGGTCGTCTTGGCAACTAAAGCACACTGCTGACTCATATCCAGCTTCTAATCCACTGTAATCCCCAGGTGCTTTCCTGGAGAACTGCTGTTTAGCCAGTCGGTCCCCAGCCTGTGACGGTACTTGGAATTCTTCCTTCCTAAGTGCAGAACTCTGCACTTATCCTTCTTGAACCTCCAAGGACCTTGTTGGCCCAATCCTCCAATTTGTCTAGATCACTCTGGACCCTATCCCTACCCTCCAGCGTATCTACCTCTCCCCACAGCTTAGTGTCATCTTCAAACTTGCTGAGGGTGCAATTCATCCCGTCATCCAGATCATTCATAAAAATGTTGAACAAAACCAGCCCCAGGACTGACCTCTGGGGCACTCCGCTTGATACTGGCTGCCAACAAGCCATCGAGCCATTGATCACTACCCATTGAGCCTGACAATCTAGCCAGCTTTCTACACACCTTATAGTCCATTCATCCAACCCATACTTTTTTAACTTGCTGGCAAGTATACTGGGGAGACCGTATCAAAAGCTTTGCTAAAGTCAAGATATATCACATCCACCACTTTCTCTATATCCACAGAGCCAGCTATCTCATCATAGAAGGCAATCAGGTTGGTGACTTGCCCTTGGTGAATCCGTGTTGACTGTTCCTGATCACCTTCCTCTCCTTCAAGTGCTTCAAAATGGATTCCTTGAGTACCTGCTCCATGATTTTCCCGGGGACTGAAGTGAATCTAGTTCCCTGGGTTCTGGGCTATGACTTTGTGCTGGGCTATGACTTTGGGCTCAACAGAATGGGCACGGAATGCACAAGGCTCTTGGTATTTAGTGCTACAGGCCTGCACCTCTGTTACTTCCCTTGTTTCTTTTAGTGAGACGATTTCTTGCAGGCACCATATGTCTCTTGTCTGAGACATAAGTTAGTGGAGGTAACTGACAAGTGTAACAAAGACTCGTGTCAGCAACTCAGCCACTTATCCTCCAGATGCCTGAAAATCGATGAAGTTTGAAGATGACACAAAAATTCAGGGATTTTAAATAATGAAGAGGACAGGTCTCTGATTCAGAGCAATCTCTATTGGTTAGTAAACTGGTTTGAAGCAAACAATATGTGTTCTCATATAGCTATGTAGATATCTACATCTAGGAACAAAGAATGTAGGTGATGCTAATATGGTGGGGGATACTCGTGGGAAGCACAATGACTCTGAACAAGATTTGGGGGCATGAAGGAGTAATTATTTAACATGAGCTCCCAGTGTGACCCTGCAGCCAAAAGAACCAATGTGATCTTTGGATGATAACCAGGGAAATCTTAAGGAGAAGTAATTTTACCTCTGTATTTTTCATTGGTGTGACTGCTGCTGGAATCCTGTGTCCAGTTTTGATGTCCACTATCAAAGATGGATGTATATTCATTGAAGAGTGTTCAGAGAAGAGGCACAAGTATTATTAAATGACTAGAAAACCTGCCTTATGATAGACTCAAAGATTTAAATCTATTTATTTTATCAAAGATGTCTATGAATTAACTTCTTAAAAGTCTGTAAGTACCTAAACAGGGAACCAATATGTAACAATACTCTCTTCAGCATAACATGATCCAATGGTTGGAAGTTGAACTTAAAGAAATTCTGACTGGCGATAAGGCGTACATTTTTTAACTGGTGAGAGTAATTAACCTTTGGAACAGTTTACCAGGGGTCTTCAGGCATTCCTCATGACTGAAAATGTTTAAATACAGGTTGGATGTTTCTCTAAAAGATCAGCTCTAGGAATAATTTTGGGAAAATTCTCAGGCCTGTGTTATAAAAATTAGATGATCACAATAATCCCTTCCGGCCTTTGAATCTATGAGCATGTCCCCAGGAGTCAGCTAGTAGAATTTTGGATCCAAGATCGTACCTGAAGTTACTGAAGGCATTTTTTCTATTCATGACCCTGCTGAATTTAGCCCGGTGGGGAGAAATTCTCTTGTGACTGTGGTGCCTTGGAAATGCTACACTGGGTGTCTATTTCACGAGGCTGAGGGATCCCATGATGCGCTGCATGGATGAATGTTTAAGGTGAGAATAATAATGACTTGAGCCCATATAGTCTTCGCACTGAGGGATGAATGTATAATAACACTTGCCATGAATGACTAAGAGCTGGCTAGCAAATGGTCCCAGAGCACCCTGGGTGTAATGTCTGTGTTGCAGTGGCTCACTGTTACAGTCAGCGACCAGTGGCTCCTGCACGTGGCTCCTCTATTTATTGAGGCCATAACCTGTCCCACAGTTGCCCCCTGACATTATATAATGTGCAAACTTCTCAGCTTGTGAGTTGTCCCTGTGTAGCAAACCTTGAAGCACCATGGTGTGCATGGGTCTAACAGTAGAAGCCCACTGGTGCCTGCCTCGGCATTTGCCACTAATGAGATTTCTAACCAGTGAGATACATTCAATGATTGACCCCCAGCCAAGGGAGCAGGTGTGATGGGAGGCACCTCACTCCCCAGAAAGGAAAAGCTGTAGGTAGCGTGGGGCAGCTCGGAGGTTGTGCGAGCAAGGGATGACTATGGAGCATGGAGAAGACACTGGTGATAAGTGTGCTGTTGGAATTTGGGCAGCCTGGGATGTGGAAATAGAGTACGGACAGGGTTCAGAGTATGATGGGAGATCGAAGCAACTGAGGAGCAAAGGTCAATGGTTCTTTCCACTGGTGAAATGGCTTAAGTTATGTAAATAATATACAACAACAACAACAACTGTTGGAAAGAAAACTGTGTAAAGTTTGTGACACCCAATCTGCAGTTCTATGGCTTGACAGGGCAAAGAGACCCTGGAACCCCCCACAAACACACTCGGGGCCAGGAAATGTCCCAGTGCTGGCTTTGGACTAACAGTCACAAAGAAAGATTTAATTTCAACAGAGCTGCCCACCTGTCTGTGTACATGCCACTCCATGCCCCCACAACACCCAGAGCTGTTTGCCTGTCCCTGTTCACCCCTTGCCTCTCCCACAAACCTCAGCGCTG